TGTTACTCAACTAATTGTTCTTTATAATATACAAGTCTTTTGATCAAATATGAACTCTTTAAGGTTTATATAATAATTATTATTTTTTTTTGTTTATTGGGCACTCCCCTACATCATTGTGTAAGGTGAAGCGCAGAAGCGTTTAGAGCGCCCAACAGGGAAGCATGCTAAGTTCATGCTTGCCTTTATGTCTCATGAGTTAAGGGCTTAGAAGCCTGAAGAGCCAAGGGCGTAGAAGCCTGAGGAGTCAGTGGTTTATGTCCTCAAGTTATTGGAAGCTCCAACAACTTGTCCCTGAATACGAATTCGCAACTTTCGACTTACACCAGGTACCTACTGTACTGCTAGGTGAACAGGGACTAATGGGGGCGAGGAAGGAAGTCCAAACAACTTCCACCGGCCCGGGAATCGAACCCGTGACATCTCGCTTGCGAGGCAAGAACGGTACCGCTTCTACCACCGATCCCCATTTATATAATAATAAGAGTTGTTTTTAATAAATGCCTTGTTTTCGACATATATAATTTACCTCTTATTCTAAAAAAAAATAAAAAAAAATATTCTCTAGACACAAAGAGTAACATTGTCTTTAAAGGTCAGTAAGAGAATATCAAGGTCAACCAGCCCGTTTGTCTTCATCTAACGTAACAATTGCGGTGGTGGGGGTGGTGATGATAAGTGGTGCTCCTGGTAATTGTAGGTGATGGTAGTGGTAGGTGGTGGTAGTGGTAGTGGTAGGTAGTGGTAGTGGTATGTGATGGTAGTGGTAGGTAATGGTAATGGAAGTGGTAGGTGATAGCAGTGGTAGTAGTAGGTAATAGTCTGGTAATGGTAGGTGATGGTAGTGGTAGTAGTAAGTGATTGTACTGGTAATGGTAGTTGGTGATACTGGTAGTGGGAGGAGATAGTTCTAGTAGGTGGTGATCCAGATAGTGATGGTACTCTTATTGGTGGCGGTATTACTAGTAATGGTAGAGGGTATTACTGATGGCTTGCTGTGGGTAGTTGTGGATGGTGATGGGTGGCTGTGGGTGGTTGTGGATGGTGATAGGTGGCTGTGGGTGTCTGTGAGTGTCTATGGATAGTGCTGGGTAGCTGTGGGTGGTTGTGGATAGTGATGTGTGGCTGTGGATGGCTGCGAATAGTCCTGGATAGCTGCGGGTGGCTGTGGGTAGCTGTGGATTTGTGATGGGTGGTTGCGGGTAGCTGTGGTGACTGCTGTAGTTTCCATCGTCCCCACAAGACAGCTGCTTCTCCCTCACCCGCCGCCTTCAGTCAATATAAGGGGGGGGGGTGGGGGAAGTCCCAGGTTTTCCCCCCCCCCACCTCTTGGACTACATAAAGACCGAGTGGGAAAAAGAAGGTCTCCCTCGGGCAATGAACTTGAGCTCACTGGCCTCGTGACGACTCAAGTTCAAGTTATGAACCTTTATACTGTTCATAACGGTAATGATGCAAACACAGGTAAAATAATAATAATAATAAAAATAATAATAATAATAATAATAATAATAATAATAAAAATAATAATAATAATAATAATAATAATAATAATAATAATAATAATAATAATAATAATAATAATAATAATAATAATAATAATAATATAATAATAATAATAATAATAATCTCATAGTTGTGGGAAACATCCATAAAGACCTTGAACTTTAATGCTAAAGGAATATACCATTAACTTGGGTGATTTTGACCATCATTTAGCTTGTCACACTGTTGTTATTTTTATTGGTAGTGTAAAGTGTTTATTAACTTATTTTCTTTCCTACCAGTATCATTTGTTTAGTTTATGTTTAAAACTACTGAAAGATATAACACAGACAATTAATACCTAACTGATGAAATACCCAAGAAATGATTCAGGTGTTATGATGATTTACTGAGTTCTAAGATTATTGAAAACACTAATAACCAACAATTAAAAAAAAAAGATAGATACATATGCAAGGTAAAGTCATTTAAAACCAACGAGGATGACGGGAAGTGAACTGTAATGGTCGTTGACTGTATGAGAGAGTTAATATGAGTTACCAGGAAGCACTGAAAGTCCTACGGTAGTACTTAGGGTACACTACATGATGCGTGTTGTTATGTGTCAGATATTACTACTGAAGCTGTATCATCAAAATAAAGAATATCGGGTGAATTCAAATGTAATAATAACAACAATAATAATAATAATAATAATAATAATAATAATAATAATAATAATAATAATAATAATAATAATAATAATAATAATAATAATAATAATAGCGGTCTATTGAAAGAATATGGCAGGCAAAATGTTAAAAATTTACAGCTACATAATTGGGGAATGGGTCACTTGATTGATAAATTTATACAAGTTACATAAGTTCTACAAATATGATATATAATAACAAGGTGGGGAGAAGGTCATACATACTACAAGGAATTTCAACATAGTAAATGGAAAAGTAAGATTAGCAGGGAGTGAACACGCTGGTTAACTACGAGTTAATGATAATTTTACGAATGGTTGGGACTGGGCTGTTCTTATAGCGGTCAGTACGTGCTCGTACGGGCTGGATACGATTTTGGTGTCGAACTGGTGTGTGTGTGTGTGTGTGTGTGTGTGTGTGTGTGTTTGTCTGTGAGTGTACCTGTTTGTGTGCGTGGGTGAGTGCGTTTGTGTTTGGGTGAGTGTACTTGTTTGTGTGGGGGTTAATGTTTGATTATTTCTTTGTTTATGTATGGGTGTGTATGTTTGTGTGTGTGTTTTTTTACCATTGCCTCGAAAATGAAAATACAGGAAGAAACACTGATAAAGACAGTCAATTTTCTCTTAGAGTGACCGAGCAAACACCTCTACATAAGACCTTACCGACCTGTTTCCCGTCATCCATCATTTAAGATTCAAACTACATCCTGTTAGCTCTATACAACCTGTTCCTTACTCTACTTCCCAACCATTGAAAAAAAAAGTTCCCAAACACTCCTACAGTACCAAGAATATCCTACAACTTCTTTTCCTAGGAAACTGATCCCAGAGAAACTTCCCCAAGTATTAGCACATGCGGAGTTTCCAAGGGAGTGTGTGTGTGCAAGAAGAAGAGAGAGAAGAAAAAAAGCCGCGCTACCTGCCCTGTAAAATATAATTAAGGGAAATCCCGCGCTTGCCCCAGAGCTGGTGTGTGTGTGTGTGTGTGTGAGCGCTGACACCACAGACATAAAAACCTCGGGTGCTCAGTCAAACGGCATCACATCCTCGCAAGCCAAGGTGAGTGTCGTACCTATAGCTAAAGCCTTACGAGTTGCCCTTACGAGTTGTGGTAAGGAGAGAGAGAGAGAGAGAGAGAGAGAGAGAGAGATTGTTTGTTCACCGCTGTTGTTAAGACTCGAGATAATTGTTGTTTTTTTCTCATTATTATTCAGAGTATTTTTTACTCAATATAGAGATGCTTATTATTTTGTTTAGTTGTATTTCAGATATTTTTTTGTGATTCAGTTTGCTGAGTTTGTTTAGCGTTAATACTTTACTTCTAATCCAGTTTGATAATAGGAGAATACTATTAACCTTAATGCTATTTTATAGGAATTTTTCGTGTTCAGACTTGTCAGCATTTTGCTCAGTGTTGGTCAATGGAATAAGTACTAAATATGGTAGCAGTAACTAAGTTGCTCAGTTCTATTTCGAATATTATCATGTTATTGGTTAGGATATTCGGTGTTATGTCAAGACGAGCTTCATTGATACAGTAGGGATACTAATACAGTCGGTGCTTTTTGAAGGATTATTTAGTTATTACAGAAGGTTACAAGCATGCACTCGAGACCAGTAACAAGTAACTCAGGCGTGTGTTTGTCAGCATGTGGGAAAACCCTCTCTTAACGACCGTGCCGGAAGTGTGCAATTTAAACTGTGCGCTGGTTGGTGTTGTCTCTACACGCTCACCAACGCACTGTTCACCGTAATATAAACAGGTTATAATATACTGTTCAGTGCATTATATGTGTACACGAATCAGATCACTGTTGACTGTATGTTCAGTGAACTGTATATAGGTTATAAGAGACTTCGCTGTACTCACACAAGACACCGTTCACTGTGTAAGGAGTCGTTCACCGTTACATGATGAGCTCCTGATGTCTCACCTGTCCAAGCTGATCATTTAAGTTCAGGCACGACGCCCCTGATACACCGTGAGCATATTATAATATTCAAGTGTTCTAGTATTGGATTTATTGACAGTAGAATAAATGAAACATCTTAAGTCCATCAACAACGAGAACTTTTACCCGTTAATGATGATACAAAATTAAAAACCAGAATAATATGAATGTAAACCGTATTATTTGTAGTTTTGTTAGAAAGCTAAGACAAGATGCTTTCTGATTTATTTTGTTCTATTTTCTTTATTTCTGTCTCTCTACTGTAGGTCTTTTTTTTTTTCTCTATTTTTATCTTTCTCTCTTTGACCCTCTGTCTATTAATTTATTTCTGTACATTTATTTTTAATCTCTTTGGCTTACTCTTTCTTTTCCTCTCATCCTCTATTTTCTTCCTTTCTTGCTTCTCTTTCTCTCTCTTTTCGCCTTTATATTTTTTAACCTATCACTCTATGAATCTTTCTCTCTCTCTCTCTCTCTCTCTCTCTGGCTCTGTCACACACTGACAGTCTCGAAGGATGAAAAAGCATATTTCACTAATTACCTGCTTTTAGTCAGCAAATAAACGCTCTCAATATTGCTTGTAATTCGTCACCACATTAGCTTACACTATCGACCAGATGATGGAGACCAGATGATAATGATATAACAAAACCCGCATCGAAAAAAAAGTGATTCGAACTGTACTCTCGGGTATATATTTGTTTCGATATAAATAAATTACAAAATACTTCCTGAGAATCTGTGATAAAATCTATGTGGTGTTTGATTGAGGGAGAGCAGCAACAACAACAACAACAATGATAATTAATAACATCAACAAGTATAATATGACGCTACTGTAAATGATGTTTTATCTCTTTCTCCCCACCAGATGAAGACCGTTATACTCCTGCTGGCGTCCGTGACCATTGTCGCACCTCAAGCTCGCTATCCTGGCGGAGGAATAGGAAATTTCCCCGGTGCCGGCGGGGGAGCCATTCAGTTCCCAGGCTCTAGCACCGGAGGTACTCGTCCTATTAGACCAGCTCGCCCTGGAGCAGGAGGATCTGTTCGCCCAGGAGGAGGTGGAGGGATTCTCCCAGGAGGAACAGGAATTTTTGGAGGAAATGACCAAGGCTCAGGAGGAACAGGAGGGCAGGATTTATCAAGCCCACCTCCACTGTCAACAGCTGCCTGCCCACCATTCCTCACTCCTCAGGTAGGAACATATCCTTATACTCTTATCTAAGATCTTATCATCCATGCTATCACGTTACTAAAAAAAAACACAGAAAAAAAACATGTGATTTTATATATCGTCTCAGTTTTGTATAATTTATTAGTTTATATAATATGTCATGATTGTTTTTATATATCGATTCAATTTCACGTAAAGTATAATTTTAATCTTTTTAAACCGAATTAGATAATTTAATGTAATACAAAGTACAAATTATAATACCATTTAAGACATAACCCATAGTTATCCGTAGTTGAATATTCAGAGGCAATTTTGACATCCATCTTCCAGTTTAGACCCAATTTTGCTTTCCAGTTTATCTCATTGGCACAAGCCCCCATTCGAATATCCCAATTTCGATTCCTGATTGATTAATTTTACCCAATTACAAATCCCTCTGCCCATTTGTTATTGAAATCAACACCTAGACCTAATTTCATATATGGTTTCAAATTCGTATCCAACTTAACTCTATGACCCTATTTTGACTCCATTTCACTAGTCAAACGATATTTTAGTTTATTATACCTACTAAAGTCAAACATAAATCCCAATTAAACACTTATACCCAATTTCAATTCCAATTTACTAACTAGATCAGTTTAAACCCCATATTTCTAGCTAAAACCAATTTCTTTCCTTATATACCAACTACATTTTCATCCCATCTACAGGATTAATTTAATTTACCACCAAGACTTAATTTCGGCTCGATATTCACCGCTTAACACGTCATTTTTTTTCCCTAAAGGTGCACTACAATCTGGGTGGGAGACAATACCACTACTCCTGGTGTGTTGACGGAGGCCAGAGGTACAACTGGCAGGAGGCTAACAACTACTGCCGGAGACTGGGTAATGGGTGGCAAGCCATCAGTATTGAGACGGCCCAGGAAGACCAGTTTGTGGTGAACATCCTCGACTCGCGTAAGTATTGGTGGGTTGGTAGGGTGATGGTGGTAGTTGCTTAGCTGTGGTGATGAGAATAAGAGTGATTGAGGTTGTGCTATGTGTTGTACTGTGCTGACTTTTATAAAAACGACGTTTTAAAACACTATGAAATGTTGATCAACGCATGTTTAAGATTGTTATGGCAACGAGTTAAAACGCACATCCATAGAAAACGTAATTATGTCTTGTGATATGCTACTTCCCCTGAGAGCAGTTTCCTTAAATGAAGCTAGATGAGTGGAATCATTTCTGAAGCTTTAGTTTGTATCATACTTCACAAATGTAAATAATGCAACTTTTTCACTCTTACGTAAATCTAAAATACAGTCTGTTTGTTTGTTTGTTTGGTTGACCGTAGTCCCTGGCCACAGCTTTGAAGGAGAGCTGAAATTTGTCATAGGGATGCGCCTGTATCCCAGAAGTGCTCCGTCAGTGGGATTTCGGAGCCGATCCTCACTCCCATTTGTGGAACCTTATAAATAACACTTCAAATTAGTCCCCGCAGGAACTTACCCGAAACCTAAAAGTGATAGTGTACTAGATGTTGTGTAGCTGATAGTGTAGTCATGGACACCGACCTCAGATTATATACTGTACATAAAACTGCACTCATGGGAGATGGACCTCAATGAAATAGGCTGGTGACGAGCGTGGGCGTGCGTGTGTGTGTGTGACAACGTTTGACCTTCCGTAGATAACAAGCATTAACACGATTATTCCTTAGGTAATTAGTTTTGTTTTGTGATAAGGTTGTATTGCCAGTAAAATTTTATTGAGATTAGTAAGGGGAATCAGTATATCCGTAGGTGACTGCGAGAATCTCCAAAAATTCATTGGTGTTTGTGGTTATCTCTTAACATCCTTCACTTCATCACTTCTTCAACATGGTGTATCTCCCTCCCATAGATGATTTGCCTTACATCTGGACCAGCGGCAATAGACTTCAGGGCAGAGGATGGGTTTGGGGAAATGGCCAGCTTGTGTACTACACCAACTGGGCAAAAACTGGATTGTAAGTATTCCTATGTTGGTCTCTCTCTCTCTCTCTCTCTCTCTCTCTCTCTCTCTCTCTCTCTCTCATTCTCGCCTGCTCTGTTTTTGTCTGTCAGTCAGTCTGCAGTTCTCTTTTATATGCCCATCTGTGTATCTCTCTATTGTCCTGTGGCTGTATTATACCAGAAGTATGAGCCTGTGGGGTGTTTCCTGCACAGACAAACAAAACACACAAATATAGAAACAAAGATTTAAAGAAGAAAATACAGGAAACACTAACGCATGTGCACTTAAGAATACATACATACATGCATACACCGTACACAGAACACAAACTCACAGGCACGTATACATACACATGAAGCACTAACACACACACAGACACAGCACAAACACATGTAAGACATAGCCTACTCATACACAAAGCAACATTAGACGCACAAACATTCCCACTCACAAAAAAAATAAAACACACACACACACACACACACACATACTCGTACACAAACATGCATAAGACAAGTGGCACATGCACTTGGTACTAACACATTGACCACACATATACTTAAAAAAAAATCCTCCAACACTAATCTCCCTTATTGCTTATGTATGTGTGTGAACAATCATCGATTAAGTTACACTAAACCATTCATGACCAAAAAATTAATCCCGTGTCTCTCTCTCTCTCTCCATAACTAGCGTGCCTAACCGCCCTCAACCCGACAACCACTTCAACAACGAACAGTGCCTGTCTGTCCTCAACAGGTTCTATCCCAACGACGGCATCACATGGCACGACATTGAGTGCCACCACGTTAAGCCAACCATCTGTGAGCGTGCAGCCCAAAGTTATAGCGGATAATCATCTAAAACTCTTTGTAAACATTTCATTTGTTTCTTAATTTAACTATGACCACTGTATCCTGATTGTTTTTTGTTTTTTACCTCGTTTTGTATAGCTATGCATAAAGGAGTTTCCTGTAGCACTGTTATATAATTCAGAAAGGTTTGATAATTCTTTAGTTATGGGCGAGGGATAATACCATTAAGACTGTGATGATATTTGGTTATAGATACTGGATAATATTTTCATAATAATCATTTCAGTTATGGATAAAGAATATTTTTATTTTGAATTATTTCTATTTATCAACAAATGATTTGTTCAACTGCTAATATATTTATTAGCATTTAATAAATACTTTTTCTCACAGGAGTTATCTTCTTACTCAAGACAACATAGACTACCACCCTGATAGTTAATTAGTGAGATATAACGAAGTTACCCTTACAAATGCCTCGCGTTTAACCTCACCATTCTACCGTTTTCTTTCGCTGATAATATAATCATGACGGGTAACGACTGGGTAGTTTCCGGGTAAATATGAAACACTGAATGAAGGAGATTTCCACATATTGGTTATCAGACTAAACGATACATTTTTGTTATAGCTTTTCAATATAACAAATTGGCTTATTATGAGAGGCGTTTGTATGACACGTTGAGTAAATGATCAAGTGTACACTTGTACGTTAGAAATAATGAATAGAAACATATGTCTGTAATATCCATCCCCTTTTGATTGAAAATAGATCATGTATGATAAATGGATGCATAGAAGAAGGAAATTCCTAATGTTGCGCCCAGTTAGCTACAATAGAACATGGATAATAGATAAATAGATAGATGAAACGACGATTCCATTAATTTTGTTCTGCCTCATTTGGTTGAATGAGATCATAGGTGACAGATAAATGGCTGGATAGCTGGTTAGAAATAGACATTCTCTCTCTCTCTCTCTCTCTTTTTCTTTCTTTCTTTCATTCTCTTTTCATTTATTACTTTAATGATTCTATGAAATATCTGATGATGTGTTGACAACAAATAAAAGTATTAAATTATTGATATTGTATTTATATAACCTTAATTATTTATTCATTTACCTGTTTAATATTCTATCCGTTGGCCTATTTATTACAGGTTGTATTATTGTATCATTGTTTCCTATATAATCGTATATAATTCATTAATGTTCTAATTCAATGATTTAATAAGAGAGTTATATGTTAACAATATATTATTCAAAATCCATGTTTAATTTCTTATCTAATCGTGTCTAATTTATTCCCCTATTCAGGTATCATTTTAATTTATATTTTACAATAGGAGTTTATTCATTTATTATCACAAAGAATTCATAACGTGGCTTAGTGGGACAATATTCACTTAAATTAAAGAATGGCTCCCGAAATTATGTTGACTCTTACAAGGGCCGGTGGGGAGCATCTGGCACCACTAGGAAGAATCACTATTATTTTCACCAGTTTCTCCTGATATACCTTTGTATCATTTCGTAATATTATTTTCTGAGTTACATGATACTTACTTCTCTGGTGTTGCGAAATTCGGTAATTTAACATCATAATACAAGGTTATATTGACACAATAGGTAGCTACTGTATAGTCGCTTCCATTTAGGAAAGCAGGGACTACCAATATACGACCAGAGTCAGGAAACTGTGTCAGAACTCTTGGTGGGTTGTGTCATATTGTATCATACAGTTAGGGTGTATACATAATGTTTTGCAGCCCTGAACTCTCTATTGACTAGTTACTTACTGGCTATTAAGAATGTACTTGCTATTGATTGGTCACTGACTATGAAGAAGGTACTCGCTATTAAAGCAATTTATTTTACCTTTTCTCGCCTGTAAAATAATTGTCCGCTACAGCTCAGGTGTCGTCAACGTGCTCTCTCTCACTGGTTGGTATTCAATCTTGATGAGGGAAAATGTTGAAAACAACAACAAATACAGAAACGAGAAATAAAATTAAGTAATTCTGGGTTAAATATAAATTATGCACAAGAGAATTGGCCAAGATTTCATTATAAAAAGTTCATCAGGGAGGATTCGTCACGAGGTTGAAATTGAAATATCTTGTTGACAATAAAACTATTACATCAAAAGGACAGAGCATTACAGCATTGAGATAGTTCATTTTGTTTCATGAGGTTCTCTCTTTCATAGTTAGTCAGTCAGTTAGTCAATAAATAAGTTAGTCAAAAATTCATTTAATGCTGTCTCTGTAAAAGCACAGCCGCAGGTGTTAATTGAAACTGAAATTGAAATATTTTATTGACCGCAGGTGTTAAGAAATTCTAAGTTCCGTTTGAATCATTTACTTTACTATCTCTTTGCCTTGAAAAAGTATTTAAACTTAAATTTCAATTTGCCTTAATAAACCTTTAAAGGGATACTTGCTTCAATATTTTCCTTTCATTTTGAGCTTTATATTTTTTTTTAGATTATGATATTCAAGTAACAAAATCCTAGAGTCAGTTTGGTTGACTTAACTATTATACCTGAGAGTCCATCGAGCACAAATGATTCATACCCGAGTTAAAATCTGGTTCGTAACAGCTTTGTTCATCTGTTTGTCAAGTAAATGCATAGTAGTTGACCACCCTTTAATAGATGCTTACATTGTTTATGGGCGATTAACAAAATCTAGACCAATAGGATGCAGTAATTCTCAAGCTAGTGTATCAACCAATCAGCGTCCTTGTTGACGAAAAGATTTTCGTACATAAAAGACAGCACCAGACGGGTTACCTTCAGTCTGTGTTTCACTTCACGGTCAGCACTCAAGTCTAGCTGGTCGGTGTCATTTTCTTTTTCTAGTTGATTTTTTTTATTGTAGTTGGCTTATATTCATGGTTGTAATTTGATTTCAAAATTGATTTATTATATTTTGTATTTAGCTTTGTTTGCTACAGTATTTCCATTGGTGATGTATTTCCAAAAGGATTGGATTAGAGGTGTTTGTATGATAACCGGACTTATCAAGTCCATTAGTATTTTACTGTGGATAAGTTGATAGTATCGAGTCTTAAAGTAGCGTAGGTAATTTTCCATTTGAAAGTGATAGTTTTCTTTTTAATTCATCTTTTATGCACTGAAGCACTTGCCTGCATTTCGTAGGTCGATGTTACTTTTGACTTATAAATAAAGAAATACGGCTTGAGCGAGTGTTCAAGTTAAAATAAACTTTTTTTTTTGTTCTATTGTTCCAGATGGGGGATTTATTAAAGGTGTATTACTAAACAGACCCAGTTCAATTTCTTAAGCAATTGCTATTGGAGAAGCCGTTTGAATTAAATTGTATGGTACAAATTTTATGACTATACGAACCACTCAGCGTTTCCATATCTGCCGTTATTTTAGTATTATAACGAGTTTCGTTCGTGACGATGCTTTAGTTCGGATATTTGTTTCATCTGTGCGAGTACACTCCGTTCCGAGCTAATGGATCTTGTGTTGAGTTTTAAACTATAGTCATTGACGGTGTAGGGATAACGTAACTACAGCTTTATTTGGTGTCTTGCATAATACAAATCAAACTTACACGTCCGTTTGATAGTGTTTTGAAGTTTGAACAAACTAATGGTATTAGATTCATCTAGTACTTAAAGACAGTATTTGACTGTAATACGTGTTTGTTTGTGGCTTAAGACTCGGGTAGTTTGAAAAATTTTCCGTGAATTAATAGCTTGGCGATGACGCCTCCAATTAAGGCTGCTATTGGCGTATTCAGAGAAGGCCAATTAAGGGTTGTTACCACTTAAGAACTCTTGTAACAGTACGTTTCCAGTTGAAATGGGAAGAATGTATTGTTGGTCTGCTGCGATTAGCTTGCTTCAGGATCATAAACGTCAGCGGATTTATTCATGAATTGTTATGTTATACACTCTCTTCCCCCAGATTCTCAATGTTGTTATTGGTGTTGCTGATGGTGGGTGGGAGTTTGGCTCGCCACTACGCCCATGATGGAGTTGTGGTATTGAATCGTCCACGTCAAGTCGTACGAAGCCCATCGTTTCGACCACAACAGTTTATTCAACCATTTCCGCGTCAGGTGTTTATCCCACAAGACCCTCCACAGCAGGTCTTGGTAAGACAAATGATTCAAT